TGGTTTCCTCCCAGATGATGATTGAGAAGCTAATTAAAAAAAAAAAAAATGGTGCCAGGTACCACAAGAGTAACAGAACTGTGCTTGTTTTTCTGGGATTTTGTTTTTTACTTTTTTGTTGTGGTTGTTGTTGTTTGTTTTTGTCTTTTTGTGTTTTTGTTTTTGTTTTTTGGTTTTTTTTTAAATGGAGTGTGCTGGATGTCAGTACAATTTTGTTCAAATGACTGCAGAACCTGGAAAAGTTGTTGCTGCTATTGATGCATAACATATTGCCATTATTGCTCTTTATATATAAATATATATATATGCTAATTGAAACTCAAATATGTGAAGAATCCAAGGTTTTTCAGTGAGTGCACACCTCACTATAAACTTTCCCTTAGCGCTGCTTTCAGGGTGTCCCATTTTCATCGAATTCTAGGAAGTCTTTGATTTCTTTATATTTTTTCCTTTACCTAGGAGTGATACAGTTAAGCGTTGTTGAATTTCCATGAGTTTGTGGGTTTTCTGCAATTTGTGTTGTTGTTGAATTCTAATTTTAAGCCATGGTGGTCCTATAAGATAATCCAATTTTTTGTATCTGTTGAGGTTTGCTTTATTGCTGAGTCTGTGGTCGACTTTAGAAAAGGTTCCATGTGGTGCTGAGAAGAAGTTATATTCTTTTGTGTTTGGATGGAATGTTCTATAATTGTCTGTGAATTTGGTAACAAAGAAAACTGTAACTATAACTATCTAGTCTTCAACTCCATCAGAGACCTGAGAAGGATGAAATATTAACTGAGTAAGCAGGAAGTGCAGAGCAAACAGCTTCCAAAACTGTAGAATTGTCAGAAACATGTGGCTGCCTGAAAAGTCACCCAAGGTTCCTCTCTAACATTGGAGCATCCATATTCAGTCTCAGACCTAGAATATCGGCATATTTTTTCTGTGAGGCAGGAATTTTTAAGGTCTACACTACCTTGTCTTGGTAAAGTTTGTCAGTCAACTTCCTTTGTGCCCTCCTTGTTCGATTTGGACAGCATACTGTCAGCAGTTTCGTGCTCAGTGACTAGCTTTTCCACATTTGAAGCAAACTCCATATGGAGTTTCTTCGATGTCCATCATCTTTGAAGTAGATTGGAGCTGCCAAGAGCAGACATGTTTCACTGTCATGAAAAGCCTTGTGTTATTAAAACATCTTAAATGCCATATTCCGTAGATCTCTGAAGTGTTTGAAGACCACCTATCTATCTAAAATATATCTCTGTTTAACCTTGAAAACATAACATGAGGCTAAATAAAGCTTATTTCTGTCTACATCTAAACCCTTACTACAAGTTTGAGACAGTTTGTAATAGTGGCTTGCAAGGGCAAGAACTTTACTCTTTTTTTTTTTTTTGGTTTTTTCAAGAAAGGGTTTCTCTGTGTAGCTTTGTAGACCAGGCTGGCCCCAAACTCACAGAGATCCACTTTCCTTTGCCTCCCAAGTGCTGGGATTAAAGGCGTGCGCCATCACTGCCCAGCTTACATTACATTTTAAATGGGCTGTGTAGGTGCAATACCTTAAACAAAAGAAGAAACATATATACAGCATATTGTAACAAAAATATGCTGTACAAAAAGTTAAATTTGTATCACTATACAAAAGTCCATACCAATGTAAAATATCTGAGACTAGTAGTTGCTTTTTAGTTTAAAAGAGGATTCAGTAATCTACCTTTTATCCTATCATTCTACACCCCTTCATTTTGTTTTCATCCCACATTCCTCACTCTTTCCCCAATATAAAATAGAAGAGAAAGATGGACAGAGGAAAGAGAAAGAAAGAATAAAAAAAGAAAGAATGAGATCCCTAAATCTAATCTCCTTTGTTTAGTTTTTTTCTGACCATAATCAATAACAACTTGCAACCAACTCCCCCGGTGACAAACATCCATAACCCACCAAACAACCAAAAAGCATTCACCCCACCTCTTGGGAATAGGGCATACTGTCTTAAAATTTCTGCTGTCTGGGGTGATGGCATTTTTAGGGGTCCCTGAAAAAATTAGGATGATGAGCAAGTCCTGGAAGAGCTAGCTGTGTCATTTGTTGTCTCTCTGTGTGTGATGGGAAATTATAGGGCTTTACTGAAGTCCTGGCTGGAGTAACCTGTGAGGCTGAACCATCTTAGCTAGCTGCTTTGAAATTTTTCTGGATGCAGATTTCTGAGGAAACAGCAACAGAGGCATTCTGTGAGGCTGGATCACCTGGGATACTTGTCTTGTCTTCATTGGTGGCTGGTCCTTTTGTTCTGAAAACATACAAACTTTTAAAATTCACACACACGCACACACACACACACACACACACGCACGCACGCACGCACGCACGCACGCGCACACACACACACACACACACACACCTAC